ATAAAATAATTTATTATACTGCTGCTGTTTATTCCCTTGGCAAATAATCACTTGTATTAAAACATCTAAGAGTTAAACATTGTGTGAGCAACAATGGACTTTATATCCTATAATGTATCTGACTACTCCTGCCCGTAATTAATGGGATTTTTGAGTTACTGAATAAGCTTTTTACAATTAATGGTTCCTCTGACAATCTTTTGTTATTTCTTTTAAATGAAGAACTTGATTACAGGGTTAACTGGCTTCATTCATGAATATGCTATATGATCTTTATCATTAACTAACTTTTATGATTTTTTTCAAAGCAAAGTCACATTGATGAATGCATGTTCCACTATACATTCACAAAGAAATAAATGCCTGAATAGATTCCCAGGTATGGACTAAAAGTTAACGGGTGCTAACAGAAATTTTACAAAGTTCACCAAAATCCATACTGATACTAATAAAATATTATTAACAAATGCTAATATTTAAGATAAATGGGGGAAACATCAGTATTTCAAAGAGTTTAGCCTAAGCAGGCTAAATTATAAAATGAGAAGGAACAAAATAGCCGTATTTGTTGGAAATGTCTACTTAAAACACTATAAAGAATATTCTTTCAAAAATATTAGAAATTAAACTGTGAAAAACATTTCTTGTCTTGTTCGTGATATTAGGTCTATAAAGTGCCCTTTTTTTCCCTGACTGGACAATAATATTGAACAATCTAAGCATCTAAATCATTTTTTATTTGGACTTGCTTTAAAAATTATCAAACCCTCATTATATTATTATTATGTAGAAATATTATATCTAAATAATTTTAGAAACACATTTATAAATTATACAGTATCATTATAACAAATAATCATTTTCTGAAGTGACTATGGATGGCTAACTAAAATCTGGATTTCCCAAAAGTACTCAATATTTAAATAATGGATTCAATTTCTAGACGATTAAAGGGAAAATGTTTTTTTGAAAGGTTTGAAAGTTTATTTTAGAGTATACAAGGCTTTAGCTACGAAGAAGAAAATTATAGGTTAGAGCTCACAAATATGGTTTTATAGATTCAGCTTTATATCAAGTATATTTTGCCTTTTGTTTTTAACAGTGTGGCTTTTTAAGCACAAGGTTACAAATATCCCTCTATCTTAAAACCATAAACTACCAAGCATACATTTTCAGTAGCAGCTCAATGTCTATTAGTTTTGAAAGTTCTTTAAAAAATTTGTTTTACTTTATACAGCCAGGAAGCAGCCTGTTTCCAAAACTAAATGTAACCTCAACCTTTTGCCAAGGAAATCTCTTTACCTCCAGAGAAAATAATTATTTCCTTGACAAAAGATTGGCACTCCATTTACCCGTGAAAAAAAAAATAAGAAAAATAAAAACAACACATACAACTTCTCTTATTATGAATGTAAAATAGTCAAAGGGGCATCTTTGGAGCCAGAACAAAAAAAATTAAAGATACAAGTAATTTCACATATTTATAATAAAATATTGTTTTCAGTTTGAAATTGGGTGTATAAAACAATTACCTACCTATCACTTAATTGGTAATCAGTTACTGACATTCTAAACTATGCAGAACATAAGAAATAAGCAACAAAAGCCCTTGACTGTCAGCTGATAGGCCAATGTTGCAAAGTCCATAAACCTTCTTCATGGGAATTCTTATTCTGTTCGTCCCTCTTTTATAAAAATAGTTTCAGTACTAATTTTCAAACACTTATATGTAGTAAGTGTCTCGTATACATTAACGTGAATCCTCCAGCAATTCTCATGATAATTAATCCTCATTTTACATACCAAAAAACTGAGGCACAGAGTTTAAGTAACAGCTAGTAAATGGTGGAACCATGGTTGGAACTCAAATGTTTCTTCCTTCAAAGCTTGCGTTTGCTTTTACCATCTAAGCTTAACAATATGTTTTCTGAGCTATCAGAATGCAGGAATGAGTGGCTAAAGGCAGGCAATATAGTAAAAGGAAAGAGAACTAGGGAATAAACAGACACACAGAAAAACTCTAGTAAAAAGCCAAAATGAAAAGTCAAAAAGCATCAGCATTGGTGTAGGAGTAAATAGTTCCACACACCATAGCTTTTGAGGATTTAACTAAATAAATAAAGAGCAAAACCACAGCTAATGATCATAACAATAGTCTGTTTCATGAGAAAAAAGAGGCTAGATCTTGTTCAGGATACTTTGTTAAGGCAAGAAGGTAGAAAATATATTTTAAATAGAGAAATTTTAATACAGTGTTTAGGATGAAATGTTAATATTCAAAAGAGACAAACTTTACCCTGTCAAAAAATTAATTTGCAACCTCTCATTCTTAGAGGATGACAGATACACAAGGTATCATAAAGATACTACTTAAATTTACTGAGGTTTTTATGGATATATGTTTTAGTTCATGGGGAAATGCAGGACAAAGCTTTGACAAATTAGATTATATGGTGGTTTGTGTAAGCTTCTAGTATTCTCAGAATTAGATTCTTACACCTTAACTTCTGAAGATGTAAGGAAAAGACAACCTTTAAAAATTAAAACTAAAAGTTTCTTAGATAAACCATAATGGGTATTGCTCCAGTGACTTTGTTGCTCATTACCTAAAAAGCAGCTAATTTAAATATCTTAGCATGACTAAATTTAGCTTGAATTACACACGATAAACAGTTGTTGAGCAAATGAATTTTGAAACAACTGTTAAGGCAAATACTAGATAGTGATGACGATAATGACAATGATGATACTAGAACAAGCTGAGTAAATTCTTTAATTTTTAAATGTGTTACTTTATTGCTTCATAATTGAATGTGTTTTCCCCCATAAACAAATGTGTTTTTTCCCAGGAATGAATGATCCTGCAGTATGTTCACATCCATTTTAGATAGGGCTTTTGAAATTTATTCCATTAGTTCTCGACTGTTCTCAAATTCCATTTTCCAACCACCCTGCTAAACTTTTAGTTTTTTTTCCCCCAGAGTTTCTTGCCTGAGAAGTGTAGCTGTTGATTCGCAAATGAGTGATTGAGTGTTATAGCACATGGGAAAGGGGGAGCATTAGAAATTCTGTCCTAGAACACATAGGGATCCAGGATTTAACATTCAAATATTGGTTGGAATGATTCTCTTTCAGTCCATTGTTCTCTTAGATTTTCTAATTTGGGAAGGACTTTGGGTGTCTTCTAACTCAGTCTTCCACTGTAGGGCACTTTTCTCCAGCACCCTGGATGGGCTGATCTCTGACTTCTGCGTCAGTGTATTCTCTCCTGGAGTTTTGGGGACAGTGCTATTCCATGTTGAAAAACTGCTAATTAGTAGAAGTTTTTCTTTATGTTGAATGGAAATTTTTCTTTAAAATTGGGAATTTAGTCTAAGACTAAACCATTCACAGCCTCTTGGAAATGTCTTTATGCTAGCTTTAAATAGAGCCACTGTACTGAGGCCACATCTTTGTTGAAATCCATCAGGTGCTGAGCCTTGGACACATAGATTTTAAGAAAAAAAGCATCCAAGGCTATGCTTGTGTAAACATACATTGTATCTTGTTGATCTTTTGACTCTTAAAAAAAAGGGGGATGGGTATATACACACCTAATGGGTGCGGTGCGCACCGTGTGGGAGATAGAAACACTTGAAGCTCTGACTCAGGTGGAACAAAGGCAATATATTGTAACCTAAACATTTGTACCCCTGTAATTTGCTGAAATAAAATAAAATAAAATAAAATAAAAATGATAAAACAAAAAAAAGCACTGGATTTCCAAATATAATAGAATCATAGTTAGAAAAGGCCATATTCCAATTATGGAAGCAATCAAGCTAATATGGGAGCACTTTAGTTACTCTTCATGCCCACATACCTGAAATTGCCTGGACTGTGCACATCTGTTTTAATGGAGTTGATTGCATACTCTGGCCTGTAGGTCCCACACCACACCTAGGATAGACAGGAATAGAAAAAGCAAAGCAGTGTGCTCAGGTTCAATCAAGGATTATTTGTTTGAGCAGGTTGGGAGGAGCAAGCAAAATTAAATTGAAATTTGCATTCTTCAGCCATTAAGTCTCCAAATAATATACAACCAGGAACACAATTATTTATCATTAATATGATCTGACAGTCTATCATAAACAATGAAAGGTGGTCAAGTCAAATGCTCTGCCACAATTGATAAAAACAAGAAAACTGAGCATGCACTATCTAACTTACTGTGAAATTACAACTCAAAATGATTCCCACATCTATCATTCAAGAAAGATACAATACCTGGGCAAAGTTCAAGAAGAACAGTTGTTTGTGATTTAGGTCAAGTCCAGGAAGTAATTTTTCTTCACCATGCTTTTTAACATAATTCTGATATGCCTAGGCAGTTGATGAAATAGAAAAAAGATGATTATAATTTCTGAGTTTGTATATAAACCTATGTAAAAGACCATGTAACCAAGTAATTAACCTTTATATTAAAATCACTGTAATAATACATAATAATAATTTAGATGTGGCAAACTACAACTATTTCATGGATTAGAAAGAAAACTAGAAGTTATTTTTAAATGCTCTGCAAAGAACAGGATACTGATTAGCAGATGACAAGAGCCGGGCACATGTCAGATGATCAACAAATGTCAATTGAATGAATGGATGACTAAAATAAGTGATGTAAAACTTATCTAAATGTTGTTCTATGGATGAAGCCAGTCACTTGGACGAATGGATTGCCAAGGAAGTCTGAAATTGCTATGTTAGGCTTAGTTACTACTCTTAGCAAAATAGACTCACACCAGACTTAGGTTGAGTGATTCTTACCAAAAGTCAAGGGATTTTCTTGAGATTCCTTAGAGGCCTAGTACCTTATGAGCCTGAGAATAAGGCTATGCAACTATTCTGGTCCCTTGAAGACAAGACAAAATAGACTGAACTTCAGTTGCATTAGGAGGAAGAAATTCAGGTAACTCGAATGTCAGAAAATGTTCTTAATTCCTAAGGATTTACGGACATTATCAAAAAAAGATAGTTTTTCTCTACTAAATATTCTTAAAAAGGGATTGGCAACAAACTTTTTGAGATATGTCATTTCCAATTTCTAATTGGCTTCATTATATTCTAATTCTGTAGTTTCTCTAGGTGAGGGTCTCTACAGAAGTACCGTCAATCCGAACTTTGGCTAGATTTTCTACAGCAGTGATTCTCCATCTGGCTGTATATTAGAATTGCCATGGGAATATTAAGAGCACGAGTGCCTTCCACTTTTAGCTAAGATGGAGTGACAGGGATTGGATTTAACCCGCTGCTGAAGCAACCAAACAATGGACAAAATATATGAAGCAATGGTTTGCATAACACTGAACGTCAAGGGGGAAAAAAAAAAGAGAGAGATCCCTGAGAGATGGTAAACAAACAAAGTGAGTCCTATGACAGCCAAGCTTATTGTTCTGAGAGTTTTCAGCCCATGACATAGGAAGGAGAACCTCAGTCAGAGCCTGGGGAACTGCTTGAGTTGAGGAGAAGCTGAGAGTTCAGAGATACCAAGAACAGGGTACTACAGAGGAGAAAGCTACACAAAAAGAAAACTTCAGAGATCGCAAATGATCACCCTCAAGCATTCAGCTTAGTATTGATCTGGAGATGTGTATGAGCAAACTACTCAATGCTAGGAGAAGAATCACTCAAAAAGATTAGTGATAACAATGCCTGGTACATAGGACAAGAATGGAAAACCCCAGGTTTTACATAGCAGAATCTTGTCTCAGCAGTTGGAAATAATTGTCCCTAGACTGAGAACTGTCCCAGTCTCATCTAACAAGTTCTAAAGCAAGACCTAAAAGGAGCAAATCATTTCCAAGGAATTGAACTGTATCCTAGAATAAAGCTCAAGAATATTTATAGAAAGACAAAACAAAACAAATAATCCAACACCCAAAGAGGTAAAATGCACAATGTCTAGCATACAGTAAAAAAAAAAAAAAATTACCAAGCATTCAAAGCAGTAGCAATCTACCGTCCCTCAGGAACTGGCTGGGAATCAGTTTTTTGGAAACATCACAGCAGGCTTAATCTCCCAAGCTTCATACTCTGATTGTCCTTGATCACTGCCAAGTCACAGGACCCACCATTCATGCCTCCCTACACTTCTCTGATGCTTCCTCTTCCCAGACCCAACCACTCCTGTTCTTCTCCTCCCCTCTAACCCAAAGATTTCTATGGTGAACAAATAATTCTACATTCTTATCCGCTCCACCAATCATTTCACGCATCCCTGTTTTAGAGGAGCCCAGTTCCAGTCTAGGAATATTTTGTCCCTGTACCATCCCAAGCAGACTCTGCTCATTCTCCCACATGTAGGCTACCTCAGGGTTGAGAGAAGAATTCAGAATCCTCCTTACTTCTCCTTGTTGCTTCTAAGACCACCAATCCTCCACCCTTTTGTGAAAATCCCTACTTTTTTTATGCATATGGCATCCACTAGAACATCCTTTGCTCAGATCATCAAATAATGCCATTTTTTATGGAGGCTCGTTGCTATATCACCAGCACCTAGAATAGTGCCAAGACCACAATAAAGTCCCAATAAATACTTGTTGAATACAAGAATGAATGGAAAGCTAAATAGAATCCTAAGTGATGCTCCACTGATAATACTCCTTTGCATGTAACAGTTTGGTTGACTGTAAGGCCACGTGCTGGAACCATATCACTTCAGTCCCCTATCTTATCATGGCAAATGAACTGTGGTTTAATATAATGCCTCTAATTTATGCTGATTATTGTTCTCAAATGCTACCCCACCTGCTGCAAAACTGAGGGTCCTGTTCATTATATTGATCAATGAGACTGAAATAATTCTTCTTACGGGACATCCTTTGTAAGAAATTTATTTCAGAGATTATTTCTTAGAAAAATGTTGCCTCCTTTGTGGAACTTTCATATCTCCTCATTTCTGTTGATATAACATTCTCTGATTAATTTTCTTGGCTTTTCACAAACTTAAGAGATGTGTTCAGCTCTATCATATCAACTGTATTAACCCTTATGATTTGTATATTTACAATAGTCTTTCTCTTTACATTTTTTCCATTTTCATTCATCATTTACTGTTTATATTATATGTGTTTTTTTGCAAAAGGCTTTAAATGAATGATTAAATATGATAAATGCTCCAATCACTAAAATGGAAAGAAAACATTATTACTCACTCTGTATGCTTGGCCAATGCCTCCATTGTCAGCAATGTTTTCTCCCAGTGTATTAATTCCATTGAGCTGTTAAAAGAAGACCCCTTATTAGGATCATTAAGAAAAGCATCAATAGTTCACTTAAGATTGAATATATTTAAAACTTTTCAAGAGAATGCTAATGACGTACGTGCTGTCCACCTGCCAGGTCCCAGGAAAAGTTTCCATACTGGTATATCATGCACTGGGATTGTTCTTTAAAATTATTTGCAGATTGTTGAGTCCACCAGTCAACGAGGTCTCCATCTTTGTTAAAATTTCTGCCTGTAATATATTTATTTAAGTAAAATGGGAGCTCATTACAACAAGAATTACAGTAAGATATCTTTAATTCAAAGTGTGAGAACCAAAATACTTCTGTGTAAAATTGGACAGATGATAGGAGACACCACTGTCCCTCCCCATCCACAGGTTGGGAAAGCCTGGACTGCGGGAGCTTATTTGCCGATGTGTCTCAGCACCGACACAGATGTTTCATACACTAGGCTCTTGATATCTCAGGTGAGGCCACCAGACAAAACACTCCTGATATCATGCCTTGTTCTGTTGGATGGTTTTCGACTCAACCAAGTCTGTCTAATTTGATATTTTGAGGTTTTTAAAAAGGTTGAGATTTTTATTCTGCCATTCATTTCATATTCTCAGACCCTTCATGAAACATGAAACTATGGGCCCAGTTTCCCTCTACTGCAAGCACAAAGAAAAAGTCTTCCTTTTCTCCTGAAGCTTTCCTGCCAGCCCTAAACAACATTGATCTTTCTTCTTTTTAAGCTCCAATTGCATTTATATATGTCATATGTTTTGACATTTAATTTTATCACCTTTTTAATATTTATTAAATATTAAAACGTAGCTAATAAGAAAAGGGCTATGAAGCCAAACCACTTAAACTCACCTCCTGATTCCACCAATTCTTAGCTTTGTAGCATCGAGAAAGTCTTTCATGTGCCTCTATGTTTTTAACTTGAAAAATGAAAATAGTACTAGTATTTACCAGTTAAGACTATTGCATAGTTTATTTGAGTTAATAGACACTTAGTCTTTTAAAAAATTTACCCTTCCTGCCTCCTTTTCTTTCTCTGGCTCTCTAAAGTTGGGTCTAGTTAAGGTTTAATTATTTTCTTGCTACTGTTCTCTTTTTACTTTCTTCCCACTTCTGAACTAATCATTTTCATAGCTTTAACTATCATTTCATTACATATTTCACATCTTTTCTTTTATTCCTCTTAGGAATTCAGCTTTCATTGAAACTCTAAACCTATTTTTTCCATTTAGGGAAGCATATAAACATTTAAGTACCTACTGTTGAAAAGATGTGAACGTGGTAGTAGGTATAAGATGAAAAAAGCCAAAAAAGTTCCTAATCAAAGGCACTGAAACTTGAAAGTCTCATGGGAACTCGGATAGGCAATACTTTCTGATTTTATGAATATGTCTGACTCTCAGACATGGACATAGACTGTTATCTCTAAGGGTCTGGCAAGATAGGTAACATATGATCAGAAAATAAGACCAAGCATTACCATCGGTGTTGACAAATATCACAGTGTTTTCTCAAGATAAGTATTTGCTTTATTCTGCCAGAGTGTACAGCACACACTGCTTACTTCAATATTATAACTTTTTGATCTTCTTAAGAAACAGTTTAAAGAGAAAGCTGAAAGTATGGTGAAGATTAAGCTAATGATACACAGATGAATACATGTGGTTTTGTACTGATAAAAATTATAATGACTTGTAATTGAATTTATGAGGATATATCTCAGCCAAAGGAAAATGTCAGTTGCACTTTACCATTGTCATCGAAGCCATGGGTGATTTCGTGTCCTATGACCATGCCAATGCCCCCATAGTTCAATGAGTTGGACTGCTGGGCGCTGAAGAAGGGAGGCTGCAGAATGCCAGCTGGGAAGACTACAAGGAGAGAAGGTGGTTAAGGATGATTTGTGGTATTATTCTATGACAGCAGGCCTGGGGTCAGCGTCCTGCTTGTTAAGGCACTGTCCAGTATGTTGGTTTCACTTAGGTATATAAGAAAATCTTCCGCAACAGAAACAAATGCAGGCTGTTTGTTACTGATTACAACAAAGAGTTCATCCTGGAGTGGCACCCTAATCTATGATTTATAATCACAATTCCCTGTACACTCGTTTTAAATATTATTTTCTGCTGTAAGGAGTTTGGAGCAAGGGAAAATGAAAATCTTCATTCAGATGGTCCTTTCCCCCTTATAAATATGTGGAAGAAATAGTTACTCAATAACACAAATATTACTTTTAATGTTATCTCTAAAATTTTGTCTATCTACAATAGCATCTTAAATAAAAAGCGCCACTCCACTGAAGGTATCCCTCAATCACATAACCTTATTTTACTTTCATCAAGGTACCTATGACTACCTTATATTCTGTTTATTTGTTTATGGCTGGAGTTTTTGCTTTTTCTGTCTGCCCCACTTCCACCTTAGCTCCTGAAATATTAGTCCTTTAAGAGCTGAGATTTGTGAGTCTGTATATACATTTGTTTGGTTTTTGTTCCATCTGTTTTTACAGTTCATTAGCTCTAATACCTCAAACTAGAACAGTGCCTGGGAGGAACATAATCAGTACACAGGAAATGTGCTGAATAAATGAAGTTTTCATATGTCTACTCTGACATCTGCAGTACTTGCTAACTTTCTCCATTTAGGGGGTCTCACAAACACTTTAAATTTAATGAGTCAAACATCAAAGTCTAAGCCATAACCATAACTCTCTTGACTTTATTATTTCTGCTAGTGGCATTTGAAGGATCTCAATCACCCACGAATGTTTCTATTTATCTTAGCTACCTCCTTTCTTTTACAAAGCCTTTTACATTCTACTTAGGCAAAGACCAGGTGATGTGCCTTCCTACCAGTAGTATCTCTTTGGTTTATCTCTTCCTGTCAGTATTACTGCCACTATCACGCTTCACACCCTCATTCCTTGTCCCAAGAATTCCTTGTCTCCTCACTTCTTGTCTCACTTAACTATCTATAATCTATCCTAAATTTAATCTAGAATCTGAATCTATCCTGCAGCCAGTAGCAACTCTGGTCATTATTACTCTCCTGCTAAAAATCTTCAGAAGGATTCTCACTGGTCTCTACAGCATCATCTTCACCTCCCCCAGGCCCCGCTCCATTTTCCTCTTATAATACATATTCCAGTCAAACCATGTTTTCACTATTTCTGAAATATACTAATAATGTGCTTTTCTTCTCTTCTCTTGGAATACATTTCATTTGTTTAATAAATTTTTGGGTCATGTTGTTTGACCATAGAAAGAAATTAAAAATAATGCCCACAGTTTAGTAATTTCATCTTTCATGTTTTAAAATTCTAGTATCTACTGAGTAACTTAAACATTATGTTCTGAAACAAACAAACAAAATCTTTAGTATCAACACCTGTTATCTGCAAAGCCCTGGGCCATTGCTATGTGGGATATCAAGAATATAACAGAAGGGCCCTGACATTAAGAAACTTAAGATCTAGTTAACACAGAGTAGCTAATGTTGTTTCTTTGTCTTTCAGGTAGGCTGAATATGACATAACCTTACATGGGTTTCAGGGATAAATATTAGATATTTACAGAAGAGACTTTAAAAATACTCTGAGCAATTTAATTGCTCTCCAGACTTTTAAAAAATTTGGAAAGTTGCCACAACATTCAGATGACAAAATAATAAAAAAATACTTTCGTCCTTGAAGAATTTTGATGAAAGTTATACCTCACGTGTAGCTGCCTGAGCTAAACAGTGCCAAGAAATTATTTTTAGCTTAAAGTATAAAAATTATGCACAGTACTTTATTAACTTAAAGTGAATACTATCTCCCACACTATGTACTTTGATTAAAATTTATCCATTATATAAAATGCTCTTATGAAACATGCTATCAAGACTAAACATTAACTATAAAGATCTTGCTGCTTTAATTATACCCTGATATGCCATTCTTCAGGCAAGTGATAAGATTTTTGTGGCTCATATTAAATACTAGTTTTCAAGTTCCGCTTTGCTAATTATGATCTCCCCTTTAACTTCCTCAGCTAATCTTGTTAAGGGGGATTTTCCTTGTTAACCTTGTTGCTGCCACTGATAGACTTCACAACTGTTGTTTATAACCAACTGCTTGGTTGTACATTTTTTACATTCATAATTGTCAACAAGTTAGTTAATTAAATTAGACACTGGTCCATGGAACAAAAGACTGTTTCTCCTCTTCCTCCTCCTCTGCTCCCCCACCTCCCAACCACTTCACCGCAGCAACTTTCCTAAATTATTTTTAAAGGCTGTAAGCAATTCAATTTTAGAATATTTCAGATAAAGCTCATGTTTGCAATCAGGTAAAATTTTTTTGGTGGAAAATAATTAAATATTCTTTTATATTAAATGGGGTAGCAACATGTTTGGAAACATTTTCTAAATTTTCAAGTCTGAAAATAATACTCCTAGGAATGAAAAAAGACAGTTTAGAAAATGTAATTATCTCGAGGTATTCATAGACCATACAGGCTGAATATAGGAAATAGCTTACACATTTCTAAAATTTAAAAATATTCATTTAAAAGTTTTCTACTGAAATTTTAATGTAAAAGGAGAATACAGCAATAGTAAGATTTTCCATCCGACTCGATCATTTCCTTGGACAGGAGTTTAAGGTTTAATAAGATGATTCAACTCTGCCTGGAACTTGCAGAGAAACATTTGATAAACATGCAAGGGCAACTTTCTTAATGGCATGACAAGGAAGGTTTCTAGAGCGCCATGAAGCAACTGTTCAAAGGAAGAGGAAGAGTAAATTAAACACTTTCAATATGCCTTCTTTTCTAGAAATTGACTTCTTTGTTTATGTGAAGTGGTCAGGGGTGTAACAAATTTGAATATGAGTTCTGACAAAATATGGTGGGGTTGAATTAAAAAGTAGAAATTACTGATATGAGTAACTCCCTAATGATAACAAAATATTTTTTAAAATAAAAGCATAAAGTGACCAATCCCAGGAAAAAGTGTATATAATCTAACTTGAGGTGTTTGTATGTCTGTGTGTGTGGGGTGTCATGTATGTAGTACATGCTATTCTCTACCAACTCTAATGCTGTAATCAATTTCATACCAAATCCATTAAGACAGTGCTACAGAAGATATGTACGTATGTGTGTATTTATATGCACACACATATTTCTCTCAAGGAGAAAGGTGAAGATCTGAATCTTCAATTATTTTTAGTTAAGACAATTCCCACTTTGAAGATCTAAATGAATTGTCAAAGAGAAAAAGTGCATATTTCAAAGATTTTCCCTCTTGTATGACACTTTCCCCTTCTTGAACTTCTGTTATTAGCAGACAAGCAATGAAAAGAGGTTAACAAGTTTTCTTATTTCATATTTCCATCAGATGCATTTATCTTGAGAATTATTAAAAAGGTCTTTCTTATATATTAAGAATGGGGGGCTTGGAGTGGTGGTTCACTCCTACAATCCCAGCACTTTGGGAGGCTGAGGCAGGAGGATTACTTGAGCCCAGGAGTTTTAAATGAGCCTGGGCAACATAGAGAGACCCCCATCTCTACAAAAAATTTAAAAATTAGCTGGACATGATCGTACACACCTGTAGTCCCAGCTACTCAGGAAGCTAAGCCAGGAGGATCACTCGAGCCTGGGAGTTCAAGGCTACAGTGAGCTGTGATCTTGCCACTGCACTCCAGCATGGGAGACAGAGATAGACTCTTTCTCTAAAAGAAAAATGCTTATTATGGCCAATTATTCATTATTCAGAGGATAATTGTCTATTTTGTGAAATGTTGGGCCACTTTTACCTTCTTTTTCCTTTTGCTATGTGTTTGTTTGATTTGAGGACAACAAACTCAAAATTAGAACATTTCCAGGTCTTCTCTGATCAGAGAATCTCTGAAGTAGACTGATTTTGAGCCATCTCCAGGGACTTGGGATAATTCAGAGTCAAATAAGGTCCTGTCTTGGGACCTTAAGCTGCCTGGGCCTACTCTAGCTGAACATGCCAAAGTGGTCCTACAGAGGATGTAGCAACACCAGGTCTGATAGCATCCAGGTTCCTCCCTGAGCTGAGCTGAACTGAAATGAAACTATATCCCTGAGTCTTCCCTAATGCACAGCTAAGGGTCTAGGTTGCCTCACTATGCCTTGGCATTGTACTGAAAATTAATTCAGTGCAATGCCATAAATTAATTACCTACCTCTTCTTAACTTAAAAGCAATGGAGAAAGGTGAAATCAAACTTTAATAGTCTCATTGTAGAATAAACTAGATCGTACACTGAGAGAACTACTGAATATTAAAAATAAGTTTTCAAAGTGAAGACCCTCCAGAGAGAAAGGCATTTCTAAGAAAAGGTATGAATGGTTTTAGGAATATATTACAAAGGATTGACTACATGGTTCCAAGGAGTTGATCATTAAGCAAGTTCTGGTCTGAGTTTAGGCAATCATTTCCATAGCCAGATGACATATTAGCTTAGACTTTGAGCTATTAGCTAGACTAGCTAGACTCTATTAGCTTAGAGTTTGATTTGAACCTGGGTGCGCATGTCTTACTTATTATTTATATGTTATATAAAGACTATCTTTTCTGGTTACATCATATAATTCATTTTCATGTCATGTACCAAAGTAAATTCCAGATGGATTAAAGTTTTATTCCAAAATTAGAAACCATAAAAATACTAAAAGAAGATGTAGATAACTTCTTAACTTACCTCTTCTTAACTTAAAAGCAATGGAGAAAGGTGTAATCAAACTTTAACATAAAAGGATATAATTTTGTTTAAGATTTGTTTATTAATCAATGATAAATGTCTTACAGGATTTTTCATAATTTCTAATTGGTAACAGAGTTCAAGAAAAATGAGGCTTACAACAGACTCTGAGATAGAAGAAGAGTAGTTTAGAATAATGCTGAGGTTATCTTCTTTTTTTTTCTTGTTTTTTAAGAGAACAGGGTCTCGCTCTGTCATCTAGGCACCCAGGAATGTAGTAGCATGATCACGGCTCACTGCAACCTCAAACTCTTAGGCTCAAGTGGTCCTCCTGCCTTAGTCTACCGAGTAGTTAGGGCTACAGGCATACATTACTATGTCTGGCTATCTTTTAAAAAATTTTTTGTAGAAATGGGGATGCTTGGTATATTGTCCAGGCTAGTTTCTAATTCTTGGCCTCAAATGATCCTGCTGCCTCAGCCTTCCAAAGTGCTGGGACTATAGGTGTGAACCACTGAGCCCAGCTATCTTCCCTTTTGCTTCTGAATCACACTTAGAATTGAAGGGCAGGACTGAGCCAACCTAGAGAACTAAGTATATCTGGAGGCTCTACTGTTCATTTAGAACACCTCTGGCAGTATTGAGTCAGTTGGGTACCTTTCTAATGCTAATAACCCTCTGAAAAAACTGGGTCCATTTATGTGATAAGAGAGAAAGAGTTCAAAGATGTCCAGACCTTCCCAGGAAGAGAAAAAATATATCTTGTTCATATTAAGTCATTCAGTTATTCATCATATATGACAATTCATTCATGTATTATTTTTATGTATGTCTGTGACATTACTATTAGTAATCATAAATAGTTAGGTAAATACAATTTCATATGGTTCAACTTAATATAATTGAGTTTTTAACTTTTTAATCTCCTTGGTGGCTTCCAGAATGAAGGCGACATAGATAAAAAGCTATCTCTATCAGAACTGGCATACAGAATTGCCAGGAGAATTGCATCTGGGAAAAGTAGGCTCTTGGAACTTTCAGCCACTTTAAGATGTTGATGCTTAGGAAGTCTTAAAGTCAATATAACTTCATATGGCTATATTTAAGAGACTTTAAAAAGTGCTTAGAAATAAGAAAAACCATTTTAGCTATAAATGGGAATATTATAAAAGAAACAAATTACTTAATGTGGTTTGTAATACTTTAAATTTTGAAAGCATTCCCACTAAGAACTGGAACAAGACAAGGGTACCCACTGTCACCACTTCTATTCAACATAGTGTTGGAAATCCTAGCCAGAGCAATCAAGAGAAAGAAATAAAGGGTATCCAAATCAGGAAAGACGAGGTCAAACTATCACCTTTTGCTGATGATACGATCTTATATCTAGAAAACCCCAAATACTCCACCAAGAGACTCCTGGAATTGATAAATAAATTCAGCAAAGTCTCAGGTTACAAAATCAATGTACACAAATCAGTAGCATTTCTATACGCCAATTACAGTCTCTACAAAGAGAACTATGAAATAATGAGGAAAGAAATTGCAGATGACAAAAAAAAAAAAATGAAAAAACATATCATGCTCATGGATTGATAGAATAAACATTGTTAAAATGTCCATATTACCCAAAGTGATTTACAGATTCAATGCAATCCTCATCAAAATACCAATGTCATATTTCACAGACCTAGAAAAAATAATTCTATGCTTTGTTTGGAACTAGAAAAGAACATGAATAGCCAAAGCAATCTTAAGCAAAAAGAATGAATCTGGAGGCATCACATTACTAGACTTCAAACTATACTACAAGGCTATCATAACCAAAACAGCATGGTATTGTCACAAAAATAGAGACATAGACCAATGGAACAGAAGAGAGAACCCAGAAACAAAACCATCCACACATAGCCAACTGAGCTTTGACAAAGCAGACAACAATATACACTGGGGAAAAGAAGCCCTTTTCAATAAGTGGTGCTGGGAAAATTGGATAGCCACATGCAGAAGAAGGGAACAGGATCCATATCTCTCACCACTCACAAAAATTAATTCAAGATGGATAAAAGACTTAAATATAAGGCATGAAACCATAAGAATTCTAGAAGAAAATATAGGAAAAACTCTTCTAGATATCACCCTAGGTAAAGAATTTATGAAGAAGACTCCAAGGGCAATCACAGCAACAATAAAAGTAAATAAATGGGCCTTGATTAAATTAAAAAGCTTCTGCACAGCTAAGGAAATAATAGACAGAGCAAACAGACAACCTAGAGAATTGGAGAAAATAGATCTATTTTCTCAAGCTATATATTCACAAGCTATATATCTGATGAAGGGCTAATAACCAGAATCTACAAAGAACTCAAGCAAATCAGCAAGAAAAAAACAAACAACCCCATTTAAAAGTGGGCAAAAGACATTAGCAGAAGTTTTTCAAAAGACAGACAAATGGCCAATAAACATATGAAAAAATGCTCAACATCACTAATCATCAGGGAAACGCAAGTTTAAACCACAATGAGATATAATCTTACCCCAGTTAGAATGGCTTTTATTAAAAAGTCTGAAAACAATAGATGCTGGCTTGGATGCTGAGAAAAAGGAACACTTATACACTGTTGGTGGGACTGAAAATTAATACAACCTCTGTGGAAAACAGTATAGAGACTCCTCAAAGAACTTAAAGGAGACCTACCATTTGATCCAGCAATCCTACTACTGGGTATTTACCCAAAGGTAAAGAAGTCATTTTATCAAGAAGATACCTGCACTCGAATGTTTATTGCAGCACACCACAATTGCAAAGATGTGGAATCAAGCCAAGTGCCCATCAGTTCATGAGTGAATTAACAAAATGTGGTATATGTAAACCATGGAGTACTACTCAGCCATAAACAGGATGAATTAATGCCTTTTGCAGCAATTTGGATGGAACTGGAGACTATTATCCTAAGTGAAGTATCTCAAGAATGGAAAAACAAACACCACATGTACTCACTATTAAATTGTAACTAACCGATGAGCACACATGTGCACAGATGGAAGAAAAACTCAGTGGAAATCAAGCATGGGGTGCAGGGGAGGAGGGATAAGTGAAACAACCTAACAGGTACAATGAACACTATCTGGGTGATGGGCACACTTACAGCCCTGACTTAAACATTACAAAAGGGATCCAGGTAACCAAAAACATTTGTGCCCCCATTATATTTTGAAATAATAATAAAAAACAAGTAACCAACCAACAACAATAAAATTAAAATTTCCTATTATGGTGGAAAGAGGTACATGGATGCACTTATTTTCAAGAAGTATATACAATAAATCAATGACTCAGCCTCAGCTGTGCCTATTTTAGAGTATTGTAAACTGGTCATACAAGTGCACTGCTGATTGGGCATAGTAGAGAAATATTAAAGAATTATTTAGGAATACATCTTACCTATCTGATTTCTGCCTGAAGAATAAAATGCATTGACTACAGCTGCTCCGCTTATCCACCTATAAAAAACATAAGAACTCATTACAAATGATACTGTATTATCTGATTCAATCTGCTCACCATGATAAAAGCATTATTACTATTCCTAGATGACTTTTAACTTTCTATTTGAAATATGATCAACAAATTAAAATTAGCTTACTAGGTGAGAGCTCATTTGAAAGTATTTCTATTTCTTGAAAACATCAGCATATATCATATCCAGGTCTGCAATCTGTTATTTTATTTGCATGCATTTTTGTGGAAGCATCTGACAGTGCAAAACCTATTAACATGTATTTTTTCAGAAATTGCAATGAGTTAAGATTAGATTGAAACGTATTTAGCTTTATGTTCCTGAGACTAGGTAACTATGTCAACAATTCTGGATCAGTTGACAGAATATTGAAGTATAGGTCCTCAAAATTTCAGACTCAAGTATATTTAAAACAATTTAATTCTTGATTTATAAAGAGCATTTTAGGGAATTAATCTTTCTCAGGTAGTCAGATTGGAGTAATGTGCCTCTGATTATTGCCATTTAAATCTGTTTTTTAAAAATCCAACATTCCTAATTGAACAAAGGTATATTTTTACATGACTCTAAAATGAAACCCAGGTAGTTCTTAAGTAGAGCTGTTTGTCTGTCTATGCCACATTTTAGGCTCTGCAGAGAACCTAGAAATTTTATAAAATACAGTCCCTGACTTCAGGAGACTCTAGTTTAGTTGAGGAGATGACAAAGACATATAAGTAATTACAACACAAGACTGAATGATAAAATGGTAAAAATAGCTCCCGGATGATAATTTGAGGGCTGAAAGATAGGAGCCAATGTTTCCATGTCTTTCTGCTCAGAATTTATGAAGATCGTCTATCAATAATCATGTGTTTAGAACTTTTGTGCAACAGGAATAGTATTCTCATGTCAGTAGACTTACATACATTGTCATATACTCACTGAAAAATGGACACTTTGACTTCAGATAACCTCTTAAATGTTGGTACACATGCATATACTTAAGGCTATTATATATTATTATCTTCATTGTGGTTATTCTACTTTTAGGGCAAAGTGTGACAATTATTATCCTACTCACAAAAGGAGTTTACAGTAATTAGTACAGTAAGGTTAAATCAGAATTGTTTCTAGACCCTGCTTCACCAGGTAAGCAGTACAAAGTCATCTGCCCAAATCAGCATTTTAGTTACAATATCAGTAACTATTGTGGGATGTCAGAGGTGAGTCCCATTTTGATCTCTTAAAAACAACTGGCGAAGGGCCATATATAACAACTTGCTGATAAATTCTTAGTAAGTACGGGTGTTGTCTTCTCCAATACTATGATTAAGACTTTGCACAAAAAAGATTTGAGACATTTTAAAAAACGCAGTTAACATTTCTGTCAATTTTTCTTTAGAAAGAAAATAAGCTTGGAGATGAGGAAGAATGGTTGATAAATGTGTTTCTTTCTTAGTTTTTTACTGTTGTTGCTGTAAATGGAGAAAAACATTTCAAACAGGATGGGGGACTGATACACCAGTCCTCCTTAATTTCATCAAAGCCAAGTCATCAATATTTTAATACTTCTTTCAGGTTGATGATTACAAGAATATAATTTTATTTATTTTAATTAAATTCCACTTGCTTCCCGCATAATTTGTGGTGACTCACAAGAAAAACACATATTTGTAAACCCAGGGACATTAGACTACAATTGAAAGATTAGAAGCTACATAGAATGAGAAGATTTCATTTATGTGAGTAGGAAATATTATAAGAGAAAATATTTATATAAACAAAAATTATAATCAGGAAGAATAATATAACTATGTTTATGTCTATTTACACAGTTACTCTGATGTAGGTTCAAATATGGTTCCAATTTGCCAGGCAAAAGGGCCCAAATGGAAAATGTGCTCACATTACTCATGAGGGAAAATACTGTTCCTTCAATGATTTGTAACATGTATTTCTGACACATCAGAAAACTCTGATAGCAAAAATGGCAGCAAATTTTATATGTAAACAGCTTATAATTATTAAAATTTTAATTACTATAAAAGTTAATTACTATAAAAGTTAATTTAATATGTTTCCAGGTCTTACTGGTTTTAGGGTTCAGTTTCTCAATTATGAACTTCTGATTTAGGGATAGTAAATTCTGAATGGACTCTTATGGGTAATTACAAATAATACTTGCAAATTGGCTCCGGACTAGTCAAAACTTCTAAATGAAATAGAAAAGATGCCAATCCAAATTGTTTTTAAATTAAGTGTTATCACAGAGGAGAGGAACTAGATATACAAAACTGATGTTTCAGACAACAATAGATCTCAAAAGCAGGACATGGATGAATGAAGTTTATACAATATTACCCATCTTGTGTTTATTGCTTTTGTAAAAATAAACGTCATTATCTTTTGTTTTAGTGCTTTTCTCTTCTTCTGTTACATTGTTTCTAAGGGCTTTATGATTACATTTTGATTAATGTTCATAACTTTCCAGTAGGGAGAGTTTTGCATATTAAAATGTCCCCTGTGAATTATACCTTCAAGAAAATGGGTAGTTATTTATGACCATAGAATACTCAAATAAAATTAGAATTATGGTGGTTGGGTTTACAGAACACTAGTGTGTAGTATTTGCCTCTTATTTCTAGAGATTTTTCATGATGCATCCTCAGACCACTCTGGGGAATTATCCTGATTCAAAAGCACAGAACATTTTGTCCCTGGTAATGATGAGAACTTGAAGTACTGTGATTAGATCATTACACCTTAAATAAGGTAATGGTAACAGCTATAGACTGAATGTCTAATATTGTGGTCAATCATGAAATATCTCACTACGTTAATGTAAAAGCTAAATTAACAGGGCAAAGAAAATGCTTTCCAAATGAAAACAGTGATGTAACAAAACCTATAAGTTCTTTTGATTTGGTGGCAGTCTTCATAAATGGAGAAGTGTCCATATATGGAACATAGACGAATTTGAACAGCAGCACAGAGAAGAGAAAATGTACACACAGAAGAGAAAATCAAATAGTGTTGATTCTTGCCCTAAAATAATGGTTAGTACAGGTTACTCAGAAATACCCTTAAAGTGTGGAGGCCAGACACTAACGGCCTCCACAGAGCAGTATCAGACCTGAGAGATGAAGCCAAAATTCCATGTTGTTCCCTTTCTGTTCCCCTCTCCAGGGATCTATATGTGTGGGTGTGTGTGGTATAAAGTGAAGAGTGGGAAAGCAGTAAGTAAGAAACTTTATTCTTCATTTCCAAAATGTAATTTTGTCAGGTAAGCTTATACTTTTTTGGGGAGTATTTAATAGTAAAACAAAGAGGGGCCGCTATAAGCAGCAAGGCCCTCAAAGCTGAACTAACAGCATGGGTAGGGAATAGAACTGAAATACACTTGAGAGAGGGACCAGGTGTTTCTCCTCTGTCTCTTATTACCCTGAAGAAGCTTAGCGGTGATGAAATGAAAGTGCATGGACATCATTTTCATAGCAGGGAGGAAAAGCAGAAGCCAACAGACTGATCCTACAGCATGTCAGATAAAACAAACCCACAGGATTGCAATGGCACCTGGAATAAAATTTCTCTTTCACCCACTCTTGTGTAACTTTAAAACTTAAGACAACAAAATTGTTAATACGCCTTTCCTGCAAGTGTTCAATTTCTCAGCATCTAGTAGTCTCAAGGCAATTCCTTTGAAACTAGCAGTGCAATATGATAGTTTTTCTGGGTCTTCCTCAAGTACCCCGAGTGGAAAGAATTTTTATCTTGTGATCACAATAATCACTATAATCCTTTACATTTATCAATATTCTCTTACGAAGACTTCAAAGCTTTCTATATACTTTCATTCATATTTCAAACCATCCATACAATATAGATGGCAACTACAATTTGCAGGTGTAAAAAGTGAGGCACAGTATGATTATTAAACTCTTTTTCCTAATACACATATAAGCTAAGTGATATAACTGGGAAAAGAATATTTAAACTAAGGAGAATAAGAATCTTCTCAGCTTCCAATCAAATCTTCTACTTCTATGCTGTTGATCTGCATCATACACAAAATTTCATTACGTTGACTAACACCATTTTCTTGCCATTCTCTTTAAAAATGAAAATGATCATTTCTTACTACTGTTTCACACTTAGGATCCCACTTCCCTTAAAGTCTTTGGGATGCTGGCCTCTATACTACCCTGAACTAATTCTAGAAGACCAATCATGACTAGACTATAACAACTACAATAGCTATTATTTACTGAACACCTAAGTTACACGCCAGGCATATTATACAACATACAACACGGTAATGCAAGGCAAAAGTAGATGTTATTCCCAGTTTATAAAGGAGAAATTAGGGTTCTGAGGTTATCTAAGTTCACACAGCTAATAAAAGGCAAAGCAGGAATCCTGACTCAGGTCATCTCCCCTACCCTGACTCCATACCACAGCACATGCTCATTCCTCTGTTCCATAAGGTGCAATGTTTTTCCCAAAGGCAGATGCACAGCACGACCAAGGAACTTCATTAAACTGTTCACCATTGTTGCGTGAGAATTGTTAACATAACTGACGTACTCTCAGTGACTCACCTGAATCTGTCTGAGGCCAGGACTTTCATTCTGACACTAAACTGAGAGAATATACTTTTCTTTCAACGAAAGGTAACAGAAAATCACTACTCTGATGTTCTTCCTAGATGTCATCAGTTGTTTGTGTGTGGTTCCAATTTGGCAACAAAGCACAATCTTTCTAGTCTTAAATAACTTAATATATGTGTACATGCATGTATGTGTGCACACACACATGTGGTATGCTAAGTTCAGAGAAATTCCCTATTTTGGAGACATGTGGGTGGGTAGATCATTTCTGTCAGAATTTTCTTTCGGTGGCTTTTTCTACTGATTTAAAGTAATCCTGGGAACTTCCAGGAAAGATCTGAAACTTCTTCCATCCTATATAAGCCTTAGCACTGACATAATTTGACATAAGGCT